CCCCCTATAGAGATCAAGCATTCTTTAACGGTTAAAAGGGGAAGGGGTTGAGAGCACTGGAACAACTCTTGGAGAAGTAGTTGCCAATCCTGCCATAGACCAAAAGTGGGGACCTTCTTACAGCCCAGGGGTTAGATGAAATTTAACTATTTTGGTTTCCTCATTAGGTTGAATTTATATAGGTCCTCCATGGTCACTTTTTGTTTTCTGTTTGTTGAGCAGTAAGCCTGCCTTTGCAATTTCTTCTTTGACCATTCTCAGTAATTTTCCAAGTCTGTGATGTTTTCTACTAGTAATACAGTGTCATCTGCATATCTTAGATTGTTAATGTTTCTTCCTCCTATCTTCAGTCATCCTCCTTCTAAGCCTGTTCTTTGTATGATGCTTTTTGTGTACAAGTTGAACAGGTAGGGTGATAAAATGTAGCCTTGCCTGACCCCCTTGCTAATTGGGAACCATTCTGTTTTTCCATATTCTGTAGCCTCTTGTCCTTAGTATAGATGTCTCATCAGAACTATCAAATGTAGTGAGACTCCCATGTCTTTGAAAGCATTCCATAACTTTTTATGATCAATGCAGTCAAAGGCTTTGTTATAGTCTATAAAGCACAAGCTGATTTTCTTTTGGAATTCCTTGGTAAGCTCCATTAGCCATCATATGCTTGAATGTGACCCCAAGTGCCTCTATCTTTTCTGAACCCTGCTTCCATCTGGAATTTCTCCTTATGTAACGAGTCTATGTTGCAGAATTTTAAGCATAATTTTATAATAGATTAGGCTGTTGTAATGCTTCATACAAGGAGCTGCTTTTAACAATGGGTTAGAGGCTCTCCAGCTTGTGTTGAATGCAGCTGTTCACTTGCATAGAGGCAAGTCAAACAGAACAGATAACAGATTCTATGACTGTCATGCTACTTGCCAGTTACCTTTAAATCCCAAATAGCTTAGGAGTGGGTTATCTGAAGGTTCGAATCCCAACTTGGCCTTGTAAACCCATGGGATGACCTTGGTCAATTCATAGTCTCTCATCCTGAAAGGATGGCAATGGCAAACCCCCTGTGAAGAAAGTTACCAAGAAAACTCAATGATAGGTTCACCATAAGTCGGAAACTAATTGAAGGCACACAACATCACCAACAACAGGCTCACATGGCAGAATTCTGTTAGTGATATACCTAACTGTGATTCTGCCTTTGCCATAATTCTGCCATAAGTTGGTTGACTTCACGACAACAACAAAGGCCACCTTACACTTACGTATGCCTTTTTTGAGAGGTGGGTTGTTGCAGAGGTTGGTATTCTCTTCCAACCCCTTCAGTGACCAAATTCCCCCCCCCCAGCTCAAAGGTCTGCTGTGATAGCCCTCCTGAATGGCTATTCTGTGGCAGGTGGAGAGCACAGGAAATCAGAGACACATCTGTTTATGCCCCATAGCCAGATGCAGGCCAGTGACATCTAAGCAGATCTTAGCAGCAGATATCATTGGACTGCTTCAGACTGTGAGACAAAGCTAGATGTTTGTCCAGTCAACTGTATTCTCCACTAGCCATGGAATGGCCATTCAAAGAGGACCTATTGCAGCAAACCCATGAGTCCTGTGGATGTTGAGCAGGGAGTCATTGCCAGTTCCTTCCTGTAGAACTCTTATGCTACACTGAGCAGTGTAAGGTCTCAGTCACAATATGCTGAATGTCTGGTCTTTGGAGTTATTTTGTTGTTTCTGCCCCGAGGCAGAAGAGAGAGTTGCTCAAGGAAAACAATAAGAATTCAGGATTTTAACATAGCTGTGATTAGGCAGCAGCAGATCACACTTAATCAAAAGGTAGCAGCCAGACAGGAATTGTTCTCTTTGGTCTTTAGTGTAAACCCAGATGTTCTTTTTCCAAACAATATGATGTGATGTGAACAATATGATACCCTAAACATGTCGCAATATGGTTTGAGCACTGGACAAGGACTAAGGAGTCCAAGGTTTGAATCCATACTCAGCCATGGTAGCCCACTGAGTGACTGTCTCAGCTTCAGATGAAGGTAATAGTAAATCCCCTCTGTAGAAATCTTGTCAAAAAAACCCAAAAGCCATGATAGGTTCACCATAGGATTACCATAAATCAGAAGCAAAGGTACACAACAACAAGAAATTATCTAAGACAAACAGATCCAATGCAAATCTGTTACCAGATACAAGCCTGTGAATATATGCTGAAATGTCCTAGAACTGGTTAATTTGGAGGGTCCTTATACACACTGCTGCCTCAAGACTAAAATCATTATCATGCAAAAGATTTAGACACTTGCTTTCAGATTCTGTTGATTTTGCCAAGTTGTAGCAAATGTACCATCTTGTCCGAAGGGCCTGAATGAGCAATAGCTGAAGATGAGCAACTGGTTGGACAAGCTACCAAAATCAAGCTTGTCCAAGACATGTTTGCTTTAGAGCCAGTTCCTTGTCCAGACACACTTAGCAATACCCAACTCCAGGCCATTTTACAGTAATATCTCTGAATTTACCATCAGATTGTATTCGGAAGCAGCTCAGCATGTCAATATCTGAATCACAACCACACACAAATTCTTCTTACTTTGGTATTATTCACAAGGGAAACTTGTGGGAGCACTGCTGTGACGTCCGGAGAGGCCGTGGGGGACACTTACAGGAAGACATAATTTGTAGCATATATTTTGCAAATGCCATGTTTTGTGTTATTAAAGATTCTGTAGAATTGCTCTGTAGGTGTATTTTTCTGGCTAATCTCCCTTTTGTTTCTTTCACTCTCTTTCATCAAGAATTTAAATTCCCATTTCTTAATGTTCTGAGTTTCAGTATTTGCTGCTATTCTGTCTTCTGCCTCATCCTAAGACTCCATTCTTATTACCACCCCCACATCTATCACTTAACCTTGGCTTTTCAGAGTTTGAGTCACTGTTCTTTTTCATACCTATCTAGATAATTCAACTGCTTTGAAATGCTGCAAAAAGAAGAAAAGAACATCATACAAATGTATGCCTTTATAAACAGGTAAAGAGATCAAATATGGGAGCTTGATCAGCTTAAAAATATTTGCAAGATAGAACAGCTTTTGTTCGGAAATACCAAGACTTCAAGATCTAATGTTTCCTACCTATATTATTTCTATATTTAATAAACCAAAATGGTGCAATTAACTAATTAATTAATTAACTGAACAGAAAAAAGTCACTGAATTTCACAACCATTCTCTGGGGCCCCTTATGACAGAGTGATGCAATATTGTTGGCCTGGGGCAGAAATGTTAGAGTAACTCATGCCTCCTATGTTCCTGCTTTATTAGGTTGGTCTTTTTGCTCTGTTAAAAAGGTTAAAGTTTGTGCAACCAAGTTATCTTTGCTACAGTCTGAGATCAATGATAGTTTTTTTTATCTGAAATCCAAAAAATAAAATGACAAAGGCCTGATTCCTATTGCCAATCCCTATTATAGTAATCCCACTGAATCAATAGAATTTACATGAGTGTTGACTTGCCAAATTCCCACTGATTCAATAGGTCTGTTCTAGTTGGGACAAAGAATAAGATTTAGACCTGTGTGTGATGGTGGAATGTAACTGCTTAGAAACATAAAATAATGGGATCATGGAGTTGGATGAGATTGCTATTCCCAATGCAGGATTACACAGCTAAAAGCACTCCTGAGAGATGGCCACCTGGCCTCTGTTTAAAGCATTCCAATAAAGAGTCCCCTACCCTTCAAAGCAGATAATTACACAGTCAAACAGCTCTTACTATCAGAAAATTTGTTCTATGTACAGCTGAAATCTTTTTTTCTTGTAATTTGAATTTATTGGTTCATGTCCTAATCTATGGGATAACAGAAAACAGGCTTTCTCCATTGTGTGTGTGTGCGCGCACATGCCTTCAGGTTTCTTGTCAGCTTATGGTGACCCCATGAATGTCATAGGTTTTTTTAGGCAAGGAATACTCTGAGGCATTTTTGCCAGTTTCTTCAAGTATAGCCTACAGGACCTGGGAGGCACCCCACTAGTCATTTCCCTCTAGGACAGGGGTAGGCAACCTTTCCCCTTTAAGGGCCAAGGGACTTCAGCTCCCAGAAGCCTCAGCCATGTTGGCCAATAGTCCCATGTTGGCCAATAGCTCCTGGGGTTCTGGGAGCTGAAGTCCCTCGGCCCTTAAAGGGGAAAGGTTGCCTATCACCGACAAATACTCTTTTAGTTCAGTCCATCAACCAATTACAATCCACCCAACAGTAGCATTGTCTAGCCCACATTTTACCAGCTTGTCTACAAGTATATTATGGGAGACCTTATCAAAAATCTTACTGAAATCAAGGTGTACTACATCCCATGACACTCCTCTGAGCTACCCAGTTTGTACCGCTATCAAAAAAGCAGACAAGATTAGCTTGGTATGACTTATTTTTGAGAAATCTATGCTGGCTCTTAGTAATCAAAGCTTTCACTTCAGAAACTGACTGATTAATTATCTGTTCTAGAACCATTCCTGGTATTAATGTTAGGCTGACTGATCAGTAGTTGCTCTAATCCACTTTTACCCCCCGTTTAAAGACATTTGCCTGTAGTCCAATTTCCAGTATGGCTTGCCAACAGTTCATGAAACCAAGTAAGATAACAGAACAATTTAAAACAATAGAAGGCAGCATCTCGAACAACCATAGCATGCATTTAGAAAGACAGAGCCATGTCCATCTGAGGTTGAAAGCCTGGGACATAAAAATATCTCTCCTTGTAGCTAAAGAAAACATTTACCTACATCCAATTGCTAGCTCTAGCTAAAATGGACCCATGGAATCAATAGGTTTTACATAAGCGTTGACTTACCATGCAAGGGTTGACTCAATAGTTGGTATGACATATTTTGGTATGATCCTAAGGTGAACCTATCATGGGATTTTCTTGGCAAGATTTCTTCAGAGGAGGTTTGCCATTGCCTTCCTCTGAGGCTGGGGGGTATATTATTTGCCCAAGGTCATCCAGCAGGTTTCATGGCTGAACAAGGAATCAAACCTTGGTCTCCAGAGTTGTAGTCTTATGCTCAAACCACTAAGCTATGCTCAGGGTTGAATTCCTCCTGGACAGAAGGTTGAAATGCAGGACATGTCCTGGAAAAGGGGGTGTCTGGTCATCCTGGCCATACTGGTTCTCTTCTATCCAACATAACAGTTGCATTATGTTGGGATTTTTGCCCCTTCCCTCTCTAGCCTGCTTTGCACCCATAATCTGCTCTTGCATCTTTCCCACTCTTCTGGATGTGGTTTTGGGGGCATGTCAGGAGGAAGACTGTAGGAGGGAGGGAAGGAGGGACAGAGGGGATTGCCCATCTGTTTACATTTGCTGAAGCTGCTTCTATGAATGCCATATTGACATACTGCAAGATATACCATATTAGATACTAGCCAAAATTACCACTCCAATAAAATTAGGACTAATCAAATAAAAATAAATCCTAAATGCAAACCTCAGGTGTCTGAGTGCCAGTCCTCATACTGTCACAATTGCACCATTTATACACAAAAAGAAATTAGGAGGCTTGGAAAGGCCCTAAGGCTTGCAGACATACAATGAAACCCTTTAGACTACTTTGCCCTGACAAAGATGGGGGAAGGAAATGAATCAATGGAAAGAGAGCATGCTGACTCCTTGGGGAAAACAGTAAAATGTGAAGAAGGGAAATAGAGTATCCTACAATTGGATGTGGATGGGTGGTTGGAATCCTGAATCTCAGCACTCAACAGGGCAATGATCTGTAGCACATCTCACTTTGGTATCATTTAAATCAGCCTCCCCCCCCAACCCATTGCCCTCCAGATGTGCTGGATTACAGCCCCCATCATCCCTGGCTGATGCAAATATGATATCAATTTTTTCAAGTTAGTAACTGCTTTGGGCTAGTGCTAATGTGCTCCACATTTGTGTCCTACAGTTGGCCCTTGGTATCTACTGAGGTTTGGTTCCAGGACCTGTCATGGATAGCAAAATCCGTGGATGCTCAAGTCCCATAATATACAATGGCACAGTTAAATGGTGTCCCTTACATAAAATGGCAAAATCAGAGTTTGCTTTATGGGAGGAAATTGTGAATATTTTTGAACAGTGGTTGGTTAAATCCATGGATTCAGAATCCATGGATATGGGGGGGGGGGAGGGGAGCAACTATACTAGCATAACTTCTATATCTAGACTGAAACTGAATTCACACTGGAACCGAACAATTTAGAATGCTAGATAGTAATTTACTTTTCTGTACACATACATATTAATTGTTTTGCTTTTCTAATCCATACACTGATGACTTACATCTGTCTTACATATGAGTTTGCTACAAATTTCAGCAAAGCAGCTATGAAACACATCTCTCTGGAGAACCTTGATTGCAACTCATTACTTTTAGTATGTCTAGATTTTTGTTTATCTCTTTTCACAGGAGAGGAAATGTGATTCACAATGTTATAATTTCTTCATCTTAAGCAGTAGGTTAGTAGTGTCTTATAATATTTCTGTAATGTAGGTTTATTACAGTGCTAAAGCAATATTCCTCATTTTATCACTTATTCCACAATATCATCGATATGTTAAAAGTTTAATGACATTACTTATGAATATACTGGAATGCTCATGAGATACACTGAATGCATGTCATGCTGTGACTAGAAATAAAGCAATATGGAAATAAAAAACAACAACAGAGGTTCAGCTACAGAGTGGTTTGGTTATTTCTTTTAGTGGAACAATATGAATGTGACGTGACATACTTTCTTACTGAAGTTGGTTAGTTTCATATTTTGGGATCAGTAGGAAAAAGGTCTGCCTTGCTTTGAGTGTCAGTTGATGGCAAGGATGCAAAAGATGGAAGAGAAAGGATGACAGAAAAAACAATCTAAATCTTGTATAAATTTATCCTATTTGCCCCTCTTGAACCTATATGTAGTAAATAGAACACTCTTGTCCAGTAAAGTCTGCATTTTTCAAGATATTTCAATGCAATCTTCCTCAAAATCTTCACACAACGACATATATATTACGTGAAATTATGCAGACAAGACAACTGCATTATAGTGGGGGAAATCACTTGCAAAAAGTGCACTGAGAAAATTGCATGCAAAAAGGTCTATAGCAAAAAGGTCTATTCAAATTATTGTACAGGTTTTTTCAGGGGGAGGAATGAATTTGGAGATGGAGAGGGAGATGGGCTGAAAGGAATGGCTAGGAAAGTAAGAAAGTAATAATAGAAATTAACAGATTTGGCCATCCCTAGAATAAATTGGAATAAACCAGTGATCCTCAGAACAGACTCCTATTTCAGACAGTAGTCTTACATACTCTGTTGCTCTTGCAATGTGTTGGACTGTAACCAGGAATATAATTATGGGAGAGGGAGCCATTGTCCCCCCTCAAATAAGAATTCTGCTCTCAATGAAATTTTCTTTCAATCCCCAAATTTTTAGCATTGTTGTTGAGTACCTCCAAATCATTTCCGACTTATGGCAACCTTAAGGTGAACCTATCACTGAGTTTTCATGGCAAGATTTGTTCGGGGGGGGGGGATTACTATCGCCTTCCTATAAGACTGGGAGAGTGTGACTTGCCCACGGTCATCCAGTGGGTTTCCATGGCCAAGTGGGGATTTGACCCCTAGTCTCCCAAACCCCTAGCCCAACATTCAAACCACATGCTGGCTTCTAGAAGTGCAGAAACTTAAATGTTCAATTGCTCATTTATAAATATCATTTAGGCATCCAAAGAAAAGGGGCAGGTGAAGTTACCAAGGCAATGTGAATTCAGCAAATGGAAAAATACTAGGTGTGAATGATTTTCATTGGCCTACTCCAGGGACTGGCAACCTACGGCTCGGGGGCCAGTTAAGGCCCCGGGCCCCAGACTTACCGGCCCAGGCCAAAGGTTGCCGCATGAGACATGTGCCGTGGTGGCTGCAGCTGCAGTAGTGACCGTGGGTGGCAGCATGCGCAGGGGGTTGTGCGCGGTGGTGGAGGGTGCACGCGTGCTGCCATTCCCCCCCTCCTCGGCCCAGCTGAGACCTGGGCTACAGGAGACCGGCCCAGGTCTCAAAAAGGTTGCCTGCCCCTGGCCTACTCCCTGCAATGCTAGAAATTTGAGGATTGAGGATTACCTGGGGAAGTATTTTTATTTAGGTGGCAATGCCCTCATTTTGTGGACCCTCCCGACAGCTACACCCCTGGTTGCCCATCATCACCACACCAGATGGCCATCTGAGGGAATTATTATGGAAAGTTGGCACAGGACAACCAGCAAGGTTAAACAGAGCTCACACTCCCCCCTAACCTGGTTGAAGCCCACATAAATTCATAGCACATGACAGTGTTCATTCATTTCACACAAGTTATGTAAATTAAACAAATGAGCTCCATTCTATGCACAAACCCCCCTCCCAAATGGGAATCTAATGAAAGAGAAACAAATGAAAAATCCCCTTGTTTGTCCTTCACTTTTCATTAGGATTTATTGGAATGAGAAATCGCAACACTCTAGAACAGCCTCTATAGGTCACAGGAAGGTAAAAAGGAAGAGAAAGAGTGAGGCTGACCAATGAAATGGGCAAATTGGGAAAGTCTGTTTAGCTTAGATAGCAACTATGATGGGTTTCTGCACCATTTTATTTTATACTGCCTTATAAAATGTCCTATCTGAAACCCTTTGGATGCTGAGCAGAGCAGCTTGGAAATGTGGTTGTTTTCTTTCAAGCGTTGTGCATGGCAATGTGACTGTTCCGTCCCAGGAAGGAGTTCTGGCAAGGCAGAGCCAGACAAAGCACTACAGGGTTATTTATTATTTGTTTGCTTATTTAATGTGTATCCCACCTTTCTTCCCCTCATGGCATTCAAGGCAACATACAGCATCTAAAAAAACAAAGTATAATTTAGAAAGTTTTTAACAAAAGTTAAAACACAATTTTAAAAAAGCATTAAAACATTGAAACAGCATTAAAACAGAATGGAAAAAATCCTCCACTACAGCCCCTCTTCCCCTTAAAAGTTCTATCTGCTGCAACATATTAAGAACTCAATGCTTCCTTAAATGAAAAGGTATACCTGTCCACTGAAAAGCAACAGGGAAAGGGCCAACTGGACCTCCAGGGAAGGGAATTCCACAACTTGGGAGCAGCCACCAAGAAGGCTCTCTCTTGGGTCCTTACCAAACACACCTGGATGGCCTTTCCCCATGAAAGCATGGGCAGGTATGAAAGCATGGGCAGGTTCATCCCCCAATATGAAGGGGAAAGGCTTTCTATTGCTCGCAAAATCATCCCAGGCATGTCTGGTGAGGATACAAGAGACAGCCTTCTTGGTGGCTGCTCCCAAGTTGTGGAATTTGGGTTAGGCAAAGCCAAGCCAAGTCCTGGTTCCAAAGCTGGTGATCCTGCAGTCCTCCTGATGTTCTTGAACAGTAACCCATGATATTCCTCACCATTGGTTATGCTGGCTAGGCACCACTTGTTGTTGTGTGCCTTCAAGTCATTTTGGACTTACAGCAACCCTAAGACAAGCCTATCATGGTGTTTTCTTGGCAAGATTTGTTCAGAGGAGGTTTGCCATTGCCTTTCCCTGAGGTTGAGAGAGTGTGACTTGCTCAAGGTCACCCAGTAGGTTTCATGGCTGAACTGGGAATCAAACCCTGGTCTCCAGAGTTGTAGTCCAACACTCAAACCACTACACCATACTGGCTCTCCACCCCTGCCATAGGGAAGGAAAACTGCCAGGAATGCATTAGCTTAATGACTTCCTGCCAGAATTTGTCTTGATTGATTTTGATTAGATATGAGATTGATAATATATAGTTGGAGTTGTGTTGTAAGGGTTAATAAGTTTTAAAAGAGCTTTAAAAAGGCTGGAAACTAAAAGGCTCCTTTGGTATGCATGTGTGTGGGACGTTTCCACCTCGCCTGAAGCTGGAGGCTTGAGTTTAAAAATATGGTTAAAGAGATAATGAGAATGGTTTTGAAAGTGCTTTATGTATAAATATATTGTTTGATGGTTTTAATAAGTGATAGTTTTAGATTTTCATATATTCAGTTGTTAATTATGTTAGACACATATATGTGATGA